GAACATACTGCATTAGCTTTTCCCTCACCCGTCCATGATAGAGCCAAGAGGACCGGCGGTGGAGTCGAGCGCAAGTGACTTCCTAAGTAAACATAAAGTTTATGATTTTTCCCTTTTCATTTGACTTTAAAGTTCTTTTCTACATCTGAAAGCCTATATTTCATAGGGCCGCAATTCAAACAACTTATAAAACTTTTTTTTCAAATTTGCCTCCGAATAGCAGCACGTCTGACTGGCTGGCGATCAAGAAGTGGGACTACGTTTATGCAGTTTTCAGCAGGCTGTACTGACAACGGTCCGTAAGAAAGTCATTGGCCTTTACATCTGTTCTTGTACGGAAAGATGAAAGGCGACTATGCGTGAACGTGAATTACAGTCATAAAATGTGGACAAAGATTCTGAGGTGCATTTTCGATTAGGAAGGATACCTTAAGTAGGTCTGCAGGAATAATCACCTTAGGGCATTATCCCATGACATTACAGACACGCCAAGGTGCTTGTTCTTGAGTCCATTTCTTTTCGACCGTCAGCAAAAAATGCACTAGGTAAAAATGACTACCTATGCATGTACCGTATATTTTTTCTTTTGATGTTTTATGTCCTACTAAGTTCGAAAATATTTTGCAGAAATTATGCTCTAAAATATCGATTCTTATGCCCAATTGGCAGATAGTCACTTCTAATAATTTCATCTTCAAAGGAAGGGTGTAGTAAGCCTTAAAAAAATTTCGAATTCTCGAATAATTTTAAGTCTGATCCGACGTTGTATTTGCGTGTAGGAGTTTCAGTCTACAAGCCTTCTAAGGCAAATTGTACAGTCCTCTATGGCATCAAGAAGGTACCACGTAGTGCTCCTCAGGTTTTTTAATACGTTAGGTCTGTGTTGTATATTTGGTAAAAAGCAAAAATAAAAGGACAAATACGATGCTGCTCAAACGTATGTTGTACTGTCTTTAAAACCTCATAGTTGGAAATTTTTTGAAAACCTCAATCTATCCTTTTTTTAAGTACAACCTTCAAAGAAGACGTGGTTTCATATCAAAGGATTACACAAAGGAATATGTTGGGCATGTTTTATTTAGCATGCGTTATCATTTATCATGCGTTATCATGCGTTATTTATCATGCGTTATCATTTATCATTTATCACGCGAAAATCCTATCCTTCCGTAATACGGGACAGGTGGTAATACTGGTTAGTAGTAGAGTTTATAAAAGTAGAAAATAATAGGAATTATTAATCAAATAGCCAAATATTTGCGCGGGATAATTAAACTGAGAAATGCAACCAGCGGGAAAGAAGAAGGCTCAGTAATGCACAAATGGACACAATCGTCGACTCTACATCAACTTTATGTCATCTCTATAAAGTTAATATTGAGATTATATAGAGATTATATAGAGTCGGTGATTGTGTCCAATTGGGCACTAATGGGCCATTTTAATTACTGCGCGCCCATATTCGGTTATGTAAATAAGCGGTAGTGGACCCTAACTTAAACTTTCACCGAAAATCAATATGAAAAATGCGTCCTACATAGTGAGTAATTGTTTAACTATTGTGGTTTTTGCAGCCGGTCGAAAAGAAGTGCATTCAAAAGCCAGCATGTTAATTTGTCCGAAATATCATGCGACCACATCCACAGATGATCAGTCTTACAATACAGTTTAAGTACTCCTTCCCAATCAAAAACTCATTGCAGAATTTTTGTCCATATTCCATGAGATCTGTCGACAGTTTTACATATCGGTTTCGACGATGTTCACCACGTGCCTCACAACAGGCTGGAAGCAAGCGTATTGACTTGCGCGTAATAAATATTACTATATTATCATTGCATCTATCGCAATACTTATCCATCCCCCACCTTGGCCCGGTGTCATGACCAAGTAAAGAAGACCGGAGGTGAGAGCGGGCGCAGGAGACTGGCGCGGATGGAGGTGCCTCTCAGCAGGCCACCACACATGGCTCGGTTCCCACCAAGTGGGAATGCCATAAAAGCCGCATGTACATACCCTTATGAAACCCCGCGGTAGAAAACCGCTGGCTATCCCACATTGCTTTATCTCTCCTCAGCCGCAGCTGCATTGTGCATGGCTATGCCCATCATTACACAACACCTGTTTGCAACCAACACCTCTCAGATGAGAGGGAAGTATG